TCCCCCACATGAATGGAATTCACGATAACGGACATGCAACAAGATGCAGACAAAGAAAGAGTACATTAAGAAGATACACCACATCGAGATAGGTAGCTTTTGGCTTTGAACCTTCTCTAGTGAAAGTCTATCAGACTTACTGGCTAACTAGTGGACGCGATGCCTTGAACTGTTCAGCTGTTTGTGTAAGTCAAGACAATTGACTATATATAGTGTATTTGCAGACACAGTTTGGTTCTCACGGCTGTGTTCATTTTGGCCTTGAACAACACCTGGTAATTCATGAGTGCTCTAGAGAATTTAGCCTTCTCAATTCTCATAGAATCGATCCAGTTTACACTCATATAGGTGACTTCTTATTAAGAGTATCCTGTTATACCTCACTTGGATGTCAAAGCTATAAAAATCATTAAAAGTAAAGCTTATCCTACTAACGCTGCAGGTATCACTCTTCTTATCATAGAAATGAATAAGAGTAAACCTCCTTAGTGATACATAAAGTCATCCATAATTCGGCTGTCCCTTTGAACTTAGATCTTGGAATCTCCAGTCAACTAGGTTGAGTTATCATTATGGTGACTTTTAAGTAATAGGCTTAAATCCTATTCCCCTCGATAAATGGTACACTTGCTCTATATCTAGCCCTTTAGTCATTGGATCCACAATATTCTCTTTTGACTTTACATATTCTATGGAAATTATTCCATGTGAGAGCAAATGTCGAACGGTATTATGTCTTCGACGAATGTGTCGAGACTTACCGTTATACATATGATTTTGTGTCCGTCCTATTGCTGCTTCACTATCACAGTGAATGCATATAGCTAGCACAGGTTTAAGCCACAATGGAATGTTTTCTAAGAAATTATGAAGTCATTCTGCTTCTTCTCCTCTTTTATCTAATGTGATAAACTCAGATTCCATTGTCGACCTTGCTATGCATGTCTGCTTGGAAGATTCCAAGAGACTGTAGCACCTCCCAAGGTAAAGATATATTCACTAGTGGATTTTGAGTCTTTAGTATCTGATATTCAATTTGCATCGTTGTATCGCTCGAGTACTACTGGATATTTGGTTTAATGTAAACCAGAATTTTGGGTATGTCTTAGATAACTAAGTACCCTAATTATCATTTTCCAATGATCAGACCCTGGATTACTTGTGTACCTACTCAATTTTCTTATAGCATAGGCTATATCTGGCCTAATGCAATTCATTAAGTACATCAAGTTTCCGATTATCCGAGAGTACTCTAATTGTGATATGTCTGCACCTGTATTTTTTGACAAATGAAGACTAGTGTCAACAGGTGTTTTAGTAGGACGGTCATCATGCTTTCCAAATTTCTCTAGAATCTTCTCAACATTGTGAGACTGAGATAAAGCATATCCTTCAGATGTTCTAGTAATTTTTATTTCTAGAATTACATCTGCTACTCTCAGATCTTTCATGTCAAAATTTTTTGTTCAACATTTTCTTTATGAATTTAATCATGTCATTATTGCTTCCAATAATGAGCATGTCATCCACATAAAGACAAACTATGACATAGCTTTTGTGTATGTGTTTAACATAGACGCATTTGTCACATTCGTTTATCTTAAAACCATCTGAAATCATAACGTCATCAAATTTTTCATGCCATTGTTTCGGAGCTTGTTTTAATCCATAAAGAGATTTAACAAGTTTACAAACCTTTTTCTCTTGGCCGAGAACTTGAAACCCTTCTGGTTGTTCCATATAGATTTCCTCATCTAACTTACCATTCAAAAAAGATATTTTAACATCTATCTGATGTATTTCCAGATTATACAAAGCTGTAATCGTAATTAGCATGCGAATAAATATTATTCCTGTCACTAGTGAATAGGTGTCAAAATAATCAAGACCTTCCTTCTGTCTGTATCCCTTAACAACAAGCCTAGCCTTGTATTTATCTATTGAACCATCTGCTTTCATTATTCTCTTGAATACTCATTTATATCCAAGAGATTTACATCCTGTTGGAAGATCCACCAGTTCCCAAGTATGATTTTGCAAAATAGATTTAATTTCACTGTTCATAGCCTCTTTCCACAACAGAGCTTCAGGACTTGACATTGCTTCCTTAAAATTTTAAGGCTTATTTTCTGACTGGTATTTCAGAAAATCTAGACCAAATGATGTAGAGATCCTAGCCCTCTTGCTATGTCTAGGTTTATCTGCTTCATTATCATTTTGATCTTCACTACCACTTGTAACTGTATCAAAAGTTCTTTTATTTGAACTTGTCTCTTTAGTTTCCTTGCAAGGAAAAATGTGTTCGAAAAACGACGCATTCCTTGACTCAATAATAGTGTTTACATGCATATCAGGATTTTCAATTCTATGAACTAAAAATCTATATGCACTACTATTATTTGCATAACCAATGAACACACAATCAATGATTTTTGGTCCTATCTTGGTCGTTTTGGGACTAGGGACTGCCACCTTGGCCAAACACTCCCATACTTTAAGATAATTGTAGATAGGTTGTCGACCTTTCCATACTTCATAAGGTGTTTGATTGATTTTCTTGTGAAATACCCTGTTAAGGATAAAGTTAGCAGACAAAATTGTCTCCTCCCACAAGTTCTGAGGTAACCCTAAACTAATCAACATGGAATTCATCATCTCTTTAAGAGTTCCATTCTTTCTCTCACCAATTCCATTTGACTGAGGAGAATATGGTGCAGTGGTTTGGTGAATAATATCATGTTCAGAACAAAATTCCTCAAATGGTGCATTATACTCACCACCTCTGTCACTTCTCACTACCTTAATAGTTTTGCCAAGTTGATTTCCAACCTCAAGTTTATATTGCCTAAAAGCTTCTAAGGCTTCATATTTACTTCTCAATAAGTAAACATAGCAATATCGAGTGCAATCATCACTAAAAGTAATAAAATACTTTTTACCTCCTCTAGTTT